CGGCATATCGGGGCAGTCTGGCCGCGCCGCGCCGACAAAGAAGCCTTTCTTGATCGGCACAGGTATGCCTCGTGAAAACCAGGTTTACCTGTGCCGATCAAGAAAGGCTTCTTTGTCGGCGCATCACGTCCAGACTGCCCCGATCTGCCGACAAACAGCTGATCGGCAGAGCGGGGCAGCCATTTAAATTTAAATGAAGCCGTGATTATTTTAATCGCGGCTTCATTTCCCTCTGCCGATCTATCTAATCTACATGCCTCCGTCGACGGAGGCATGTAGTTTAGACACACCCTAGGAGAGCCGGCCTCGGACTCATTTCCAGACTTCCCTGTAGTGTAGATGTGCTACTTTGAAATAAGATGTTTTGAAGCATTTCCAAAGTAATCATGCCATGTAGATGTAGCCTAGACTCTTCGTTGTTTTTCCAGACACAGACTAACACGACCTCCCCGCTGAGGCTTTCCACGGGTCAATGTGCCTCTCTGCCCTGGTCTACACTAGGGATGTTAAAGGACTAGTTGACAAGTCGACTATCAGATAAGCAAATGCTTATCAGATAGTTAGTCAACTAGTCAATTCCTCCCACCCTCCTACCCCCCAACCCCCCACTTGCTGCCTCTATCAGATAGAGGCAGCAAAGGAGGGGGGAAGAGGAGGTACTTCAAAGTGGCAATGCCGCACAGTGGAGCCCAGGATCAGCTGTGTGGTGCTGCTGGGACTCCCCAGCTGACCCCGGTTCTGGGGAAATGCCACACAGAACCTGTGGTCAGCTGGGGACTCCCCAGCTGATCCCGGGTTCCACTGAAATGCCGCACGGAGCCCGGGATCAGCTGGGGAATCCCCAGCTGACCCCAGCTCCATATGGCATTCCAAAGCAAGTCCCTCGCTGACCCCAGGCTCCATGCTGCACTGCCGCTTTGAAATGCACAAGACCCCTCACTGGGGATTCTTGTACATTTCAAAGGAGGAATGCAGACGTGCCTATCAACTAGTCGAGTAGTTGATGGAAATTCCATCGACTACTCAACTAGTCAATTAACCGTTACTTAACATCCTTAGTCTACACTAGGGCTTTATTTTGAAATAACCTCCCGTCGGTCGAATTTCTAAGTGGAACGTCCACTACCCAGTCTGGTTATTTTGAAATCTGTACTCCTGCTTTCCTCGGGGAATCACACTAATAGTTATTTCGAAATAGCGTTAGCGCGGGCTCTTAGATGCCAATGCTTCTAAGTTTGAGGTAGCGCGTTCACATGAACAGAGCCAGCCTTGGACTTATTTCGAGGCGCCCCCATAGTGGGGGGACACGAGTTCCATTTTGTTATTTCAGGAGTTATTATTTCAAATGTAGTTATTTCGAAATAGTTTCCTAGTGTGGACATGCCCTCTGTGACCACACCACAGAGCCAGCATTACAGCCTCCCCAGTGTGGACCTTAGCTCTTGTAGGTCACTCAGAGGTTCCTCGTTCAGACTCTGGTGGAGCGGGTGGCATATCCACCAGAGAAACGGGCTTTCTTTGCCCGCCAGGGACTCTTGAGATTAGGAGGCTGTTGGCACAGACTAGCCAGCGGTGACTGAGAACGGCTAGGCTGGCTGTGGTTGTGCCGGCAGTTATTTTAAGGTTGTCCATTAGGGCAGAACACGCTGTTCCCAACCAACGGTCAGTGATCTCCACGGCTTCCCCGTTGGTAGGCGTGAGCAGTGACTTTTCCTCGGCGTGTTGTCCTCCCTCTCCAGCTGTGTTTGGGGTGGCCTACCCGTGGTACGTGGTACGAGTTTCTCAACCCATGGTACGAGTACCCTGAGGGGAACTCGAGAGAAGTCTAGGAGGTGCGTCAACACAACTGAAATTTGGAGAAAATGGAATTTTTGTTTTAAGTTTTACAGCGTTTTATTACCTTTGTACCTTTTACACCCAAAAATGCCATTGCCTGCCCGGTTACAATTAAGTTGTTTAAACAAATGTGTTGCAATGGTAGAAAAAAATTCTGTGTGTCTGAAAACTGTAGGTACTGGGTGTACTTATAATATTTTTAAAGGGGGTAGTTATCATATGTTTTTAAAGGGGGTACTTTATAAAAAAAAAAAGGTTGAGAAACACTGGCCGAGAGGATGAGGAGTTGCCCACAGGGAGCTCTCAGGGCTGTTTGCCCAGGTGAACACCTGGCCAGCAGGAGGCGCTGTGAGCAACCTGAGCTGGATGCAAGGGGAGGCCAAGCTGCAGGGCCTATCAGAGAGCCATGGGGCGGCTGCCAGAGCCTCAGAGGCTCTGGAGTGGGGGATTATCCCCTGCCCCTGGGGTGGAAAGAAGCAAATAAGCTGGGGGGTGAATAGTGAAGGGCTCAGAGGGGGGCAACTTGGCTGGCTCCAGAGAAGAGCGAGTGGCCATTCTTAGGGAAAGGGGGAGAGGAAAGCTTGGCTGGGGCCAGTGGGGAGAGAGAGGGTGAAATTGTGTGGGGCGCTGAAGGAAAAGAGGAGAGGATGCCGTGGAGGGAGAGAGAAGGATGGATACAGAAAGATGCTCTTAGCTGCGTCCCTTTGGATGCCCGAGAGGGACTCAGGCAAATCAGGGGTGACCAAGACAGTCAGTTGTAACCTTTCACCACTGGCAAGAGGCTGGTAACTCTTCGTTGACTGTTGGCCACCTTAAATGTACAGCCGTGCCTCTAGCACAGGCCTGCGCCTCAGCCGAGCCCGCCTCGAACTCCTCAGCGCTACCTTAAATCCTCCACGCTGGTCCTCCCTGGGTAACATGTAAGGAGAACCAGAAACCTGCCGCCTGCACCGTCGGACACCCCCCACCCCATCCCCGAGGAGAGGGGCCCCTCTCGTACCTCGATTAACTGGCTCATGGCAGCTCGGGAGTAAGACAGCAGGAAGGCAGAGCCCCTGCGCCAGCAGAGGGGATGCAGCGCCCACGCCATCTTATTTCCTCCGCCTGTCTCTCCCCGGCCTGCTCTGTGGACTGGAGGGGTGATTGATAGCCAGCAGCGCCTCTGGAAGAAGTGGCTATGCGCAGTTCTATTCCGCCCGGGGCCGCCTTGCTTTCCAGGCCGGCAGACGCAGAGCCGGCCCGGGGGAGTCATGAATTAATTAGATCGGTGTCACTTACAGGATGCTTTGGGCGGTGGTGCTTGGAGCTCCAAATTGGCCAGCAAGGTGGTGACCGGCGGCCAGCCCCCACTGCCTGAAGAGGATAGCTATTTGTAGATTTTGCCCCTGCTTCCGAACAGCTGACGGCTGATTCCAGCGCCCCTGCCTTTTTTCTCCCGCCTGCTTGTTAGAATGTCTTTTTGCTGAAGCAGACGGGCAGCACGCCAAGCTGTGTGTAAGCCGGACTGTCGCTAGCTAATTCAGGCAGCATCCTTCATTCCCAAAGGCGTTGCCGCTGTACGTTGGCAGGTCACATCTGATCTCAAGCCCACGCTTGGCTGAAAGTGGTTTGAACTAAGCTGGGAAAAGATCCGTATGCTGGACTCAGGCTGTGTCTACACTGCAGAGCGAAAAGCGATGCTGGGTCCATGGAACGCGTCCGCTTTTGTCCCAGAGGGAATGAACAGAACAGGGAATCATCAAGGTTTTGTCTACACTGCAGGGTTTCGGCACAAGAAGCCTTTTGCAGAAGAGATCTTCCACAAAAATGCCTTGCGCAAAAGCACATCCACATCTCAAAGCACATGGCAAAAGCAATGTGCTTTTGTGCAAGAGAGCATTCACATTGCATGGAGGCTGTTGCGCAAGAAAGCTCTGATTTCCTGTGCTTTTGCTGATAGGGGTTTCTTGTGCAAAACCCCTCTGGAGCATCCACCCCTGCCTTTTTGAGCAAGAGCTGTAGCACAAAAAGAAGTTATTCCTTGTGGGGAGAGGAATAACTCTACTGGCAAAAGGCCTCTGTTCTGATGATTTACTTGCACAAAAACACACTTAAGGTGTGGATGATTCGTGGGATGATCCTGGTCAGCTCTCAGCCAGCCTGGTTCTCACATCCAGCTGAAGGGGTTGTTTGTGTTTTTCATGTTCACGTTTCCTTCATGGTTTGAAGTGTCTTTCGGGGTGGGGCAGGATTTCTCTTTCATGATTTATTTTGGGGGAGACATTCCAGTTGGGGGGGTACGATTTTCCCCCTGTGGATTTTCTTAAATCTTTACTTCTCTCCTTTTTTCTTTCCCCACCTCTCCTTCCTGGCCAATCAGCTTCCAAGAGGGGGCAGTGGAAAGACGGACGGGGGTGGGGGGAGAAATTGTGATTCCAAAGAAAAGACAGGGAAGGGAATCAGTAATCGAAGAAAGAGCCGTTTCCAACACGATCTCGATAAAGTTTTCTCTCCCGGACCAAGGCAGAAGAAAGGCGGCTTTTCTGCTACCAGATGGATCGTTTGGAAAATCGTTTCCTGCCCATGTCCGGCCACTTAGGACAGTTGGAGGGACCGGGCCCCATGGGGGATGAAGAGGAGTAGGGGGCGTGGCCTCATGGTGAGGGGCAGGGCTAAAGCCCAGCTCACAGAGACCCACAGGAAGGGGTTGCCCCACCCTGAGCCTGGGTGGAAAAGGCACAGTGGTGCCACAAGGAGGCCAGGGCATGAACTCCTCCAATCTGGTTCTTGCCACCTCACAGCACTTGGTGTGACTCAGTTTCCCCCGTTGTGCAATAGGGTTAACAGCTCTGCCCTGCCTCACGGAGGAGGAGGGTGGCTAATTCCAGTCAGAGCCCCTCGCAGTCTGTGTACTGCAGCAGTGCAGTTGAATAACTCATATAGAAGTGACCACGGGCTGGCTTTGTAAAGGGCCCAAGGGATTTAGACACCAACCCCCCACTGACTTTTGCTCTGAGCCTCTTTTTTAGACCCAGTTGCTTTGGGGCTGCTCTAAAGCCCATGTATAGCACAGGCGATGGGGCTGGACAGGCATTGAACCTGGCCGTGGGTCTCCACAGGGCTCTGCCGGTCCTCCCACCTAACAACTCCCCATCACACGGACCAGTCCCCTCGCTCCCACTCCCACGCTGTTTTGCACTTTCCCACTTGGCATCGGAGAAGGGTCAGACCCTGGCAGCCCCTGAGAGCAGCGGAGCCGGGAACAGAGATACAGCAACACCCCCGGGAGGGGATACTCCAGGGTCACAAAATTCAGAACCTGCCTTGTGCATTTCATATCCCAATGGTACAACCCGGCCCGGCCCAGCAGGTAACCCCAGCTCGGGTGTGTCTGCTCCGTGATCCCCCCCTCACCCCCCCATGCACTAGGGGGAACCCAGCTGCTGGGCCAAGCAGAGGGGATCCTGCAGGGCAGGGACACGCTGCCCCCTGCTGGCTGCCCCCATCTAGTCCCATTCAATGGCAGGCCACTGACCCTAGCGGCAGCATGCAGATGGGTTTTAAAAGACTCTAAAATGGGGATGGCCACAAGCTGGCAGAGCTGGGAAAGATCCCAGCAGAGAGAACCCCCCTGCCCACCCCTGGTTCTCCATCACCTTCCTCATCCCCTCTCCCTCACTCTGTCCATTTACACTAGATCCCCACCACCCTGGCAGCAGAAAGGGGCTCTAAAGGAGATGGCCAGGCCACCCCCCCACCCAATTCCCTCTGAGCTCAGACACTCCTGGCCAGTGTGGAGCTGGGGGGGGGCGCATCAGCCCTGCTCCCCCAGCCCCTGAATAATGGGATGTATCTAGAGGGCAGTGCACCGGGGCCTTCTCTGCTGCCCAGGGCCAACATGGGAACCTGGCATAAGGCAGAGCAGCCCTGAGGCTGCTCTACTGGTAGCAGGAGCCAGGCAAAACCCAGCCTAGCCCCAGATTTCAGGGAGCAGAGCCTTAATGGTGGGAGGGATAGTGGCCCTGTGCTTAGTTAAAATCTGGCAGATCTGCAACAAGAGATGGCTACCTCTGGTTTCATCAGGTTAGTAGCATTCTACAGTGCAAAGAGTGTAGCAAGAACCGAAATTTTTTAAGTACATGCACCTATTTAAATCCTTGTCTGGATTTCACTGAGTGGTGGAGAATAATTTTTCCAAACCCTATTCAGCTTTTAGCCCAATCAAAGGACATGCAGACTTGAATGGGCATATGAAAAAAATTTAGCTCAGTTCTTGGTCTGCTGTACCCAGCATGTTCCCTTTGATTCTTCCCTCCCTCCCCCATTTGGTGCTTAAGGTACTTTAAAAAAAATCTCCTCTTGGCTAGTGTTTTTAGAGTATTAATTGTTCTTGGGTTGTGTATAGTCCTGTTTGAAATTACTTTTATACAGTTGCAGTTTAATAGGGATGACTTCTATGTGGAGGTAAAACTCAGATATCAAAGCACTAGCAAAAATCATTAAAATATTATTTGCTCCATGGGAAGTGCCTTAGGTGAATGTTGCAGGCAGATCTTGGCTTTTAATAGAAACATATTGGCTGATATACAAGGTAATTAAGTTTGTTGGAAGGATGGTTTTTGATGTAGAATGATGAGCATGTGAAGCCTTTTCACTAGTATATTGCTTAAGTAAGAAGTAAGAAATATATATCAATTTTGATAAATATTATTGGACTTTGGCATTGACTAATTTTTTTTTAAACTATTAGATAAATTCATGGAGGATAGGTCCATCAGTGGCTGTTAGCCAAGATTGGTAGGAATGGTGTCCCTGGCCTCTGTTTGTCAGAAGCTGGGAATGGGCTACAGGTGTGGGATAACTTGATGATTCCCTGTTCTGTTCATTTCCTCTGGGGGCACCCAGCATTGCCGGCTGTCCGACGAAAGGACACTGACCTAGATGGATCTTTTGGTCTGACCCAGTATGGACATTCTTACGTTTTTCTGTTCTTATTATTTTAATGGATAATGTAGGTTGGAATTTCTTAGTAAAAAATTTCTGCTCTTCATCTGGCTCTCTGTGTCCATTAAAGGAAGTGTGGAATAGAAATTGTACTTGGGGGTTTAGGAAGGTCTTTTGTGTACATGAGGGACCAAGAGATCCCATCATTTTAAATCAAGACGGTAAACCATTTGTTATGATAATTTTCCTTTATATCTTTTGGTGATTTTAATCATTTTTTATGAAATCCAAAAAACATTTATTTTGATAAATGTGTCTGCAAGGTTTGTGCATGTCTCCAGATAAACCTTGGGCAAGGCAAAAAATTAAATATGCTCAACATAGAATTTTCTCAGATGGGAACAAGATCGCATGTTTTACCTGCAACTGTAGCTTAGATGAGAATACTAGTCCGCAGGCTATAAGTGACTGCTGGAGTCACTACTTGACTATTTGCTCCCCCCACTTTTGCTACCTCTGACACAGAGGCAGCAAGGCAGGGTTGGGGTGGGAAGCAGGAGCTGGTGCTGGGGGAGCTGGCTTAAAAGCTTCCAGATCTACCCCTGTTGCGACTCTGCAGTTGAAATGTAGGAAGAGCTGGGCGGCTCTTGCTACATTTAAAATGCAGAGCCGCAGCAGTCCAGGACCCAGCGCAAGTTGGGACTGCTAAGTCCTGGTTTGTGCCGGGTTCCGGACCTTCCCTCACTGCGGTACTGTTGTTTAAATGTAATAGGAGCCACGTTGCCTGCGCATCCAGCTCCTGCTACATTTAAACTGCGGAGCTGCAGTGGGGTCTCTTATCAACTAATTGTGTAGTCAATATAATTTGTATCGCTTACCTGCTTCTTAACATCCTTAACTAGTCCCCTATTAGCCCTTCACCCAAGCTCCTGAAAGTTTATCTTTAAATGACTTTACTCATAAAGATGAACTTTTAAAATAAAATATCCATGATAATAGTCTGCTTAATTCTGGTTGTCACATCTGCAGCCAACTATTAAATAGTGTGCTCCTATCAGAGAGATGTTCTTGTGGTCTATACAGCATACTGAGAACATGTTCAAGTGTATAATCTCATGTGAGTAATGTTTTTCACCAGTATCAAAGAACTGGACCCTTTAAATTATTTTATATTAATCTGTATGTGAATTTGAAAACTTCCCTTCAAAACTGAGTGCATATTAGAACGGGTTAATGGCTGAGGTGGGGGGGTTAGTGGCT